GGGGCAGAGCAGGCAAGGGCTGAGAGGCATCACTGTGGGACGAAGGGGAAAGGAAAGCAGGCGAGCAGAATTCCTTGTGCATCCTCACGAAGGGTGCCGGTGCCAGCACAGGATCTGCCAGCAGCAGATGTAAGCTCTCAAAAGCAGCGGGGAGGATGTTGACTGCAACAATGCATCAAGGCTGCGGTTTGTAACCTCAATAGTAAGGCAGTTAACTTTTTTTTAACAAAGACATTTTGATTGCCAAATCCATAACCATTAGCAGCTGTGGTTTCGAGCTGTTCCTTCCTCACACGTTGCAGTCTAGACCTGACAGGCTTTCAAACAAAAGTTTGGCTGCCAGCTTTTGTTTGTGTTTCTTTGCGGTCCTGCTTTCTTTCCTTTTTGCCCCTTGTGTTGATTTGGATTGAGCATCAACACATATCCCTTCTTCAACCCAGCCTCCATGGAGCATCTCCTCTGCATCCATGTGGTCTTCTGTGAGAAGAGTGGCGTGTAAAGTGCTTCGAGTGCATGTGCACAGGCTACAGTACTGGACGTTTCTGCCTCAGGCTAGAAAATTTGGCGTTTCTAGAAAGCTGGATCTGCTTTGGGGTTTCTGTTTAGGAAAATGTTGTTTCTCTTTGGCCGAAGGCTGGTTGGCCTGTGCTAAGGCAGAGGGAACGGGCCCCTAAAAGTTGGTGCTTGAAAATGTGCTCAGAGTTGAGTTTGATGCCAGACCATGTCGTGAGGGAGATCAGACCTCGAAGTGAAGCACTTGGTGTTCTGCAGTGCTGGAGGTCTGAGTCCAGAGAAGGTGGCACAGAGCAGTGGCAAACCTGAGACTCCTGGCTGGGGCAATGGCTCCTGTTGCCAGTCAGGTGCCACCTTTGGGTGAACGTGCCCTGGAGCACTTCGGGATTGGGAAAATTGACCAGGTGATCCCCCAGAGTGAATGTCCTGCTAATGGGGTGGTGGAAACTACACTCTTAGAACAGCAGATGGGGAAATGATGCTTCAAAGCCATTCTCCTTGGAAAAGCAACAAGGATGGATGTGGCATGGACACACTGGTTCCTAAAGGCTGATCCTGCAGGCTGGGAGAAGAATGGGGCTTTTTTTCCTTCTGATACTAATAATTCCTACCTGCAGATGGACCACAGAGCCAGTGACTGAGCATCAGGCACTGGAACCAGTGATGGTTCTGATGGAATCAGGGAGTTTGCAGCACCCACAGCCAGATAAGCATAATCTTTCTCCCTTTTGATGGTTCCATTTCTCCTGCATCCATGTGTCTGTGTTGCAGGCATTGCCACAAATGCTCCTCTTTGGCTGCGGCACTCTTGCTGCTTGCCAGAAACTCCCGACTTTCTTTTCCCTTTTGCAAACCACTAAAGAAACATTTTCTAGCTGGATGGTGAGCGATTTCCCCCCGGAGAGGAGGAGAAAATGGCTGTTTAGTAGTTAATTACCTGTTACGTTGGTCTGACAGCTATGAAGCTTATGAGGCATGAAAGAAGAGCAGAACCGCCTCTCCCACAAATCACCATGAAAATGGGGTGAAGGAACTTGTGCCTGGATCCCGGGGGATGCCTCACATCCCGCTGCCCTCCCGTGCACGTGGCCAAGGGGCTTCTCACAACACCCAGGGAAGAGCCCTGTGCGTGTTTTTGCCTGCTGAGGAAGGCTGATTTATTGCCTCTGCTGGTTAGGGCAGCCCTGCTCTTTCAGAGGAGATGCCGTTGCCGCCAAGATGATTTTTTCCCTTTGAATGCATTTTACAGGGAGCTCTCTTGCCAACACATGGGCTCTGCTTGCTTTTATTCTTTCCAGACAGTGTTGCTTTCCAGTGCTGCCTCCTTTATTTCAGAGCTGTTGGAGAGCAGCAGGGAAATGAAGGCTGGAGCTGGTGTCTTGGCCCTGCGCTGCCTGGCAGAGCAGCTGTATTTCCCCTGTTGTTCACCAAGGAGGCATGCCAGGAAAATGATTCAACCCTTTCCATTATTAACCTTGCAGAACAACTCAACCACCTCCTTGCTGCTCGGTGCTAGTGCCCCAGGGCCACCCCTCAGCAGCTGCAAGATGGAGAGGATGGCAGCCACCCGCTGAAGGACTACAGGTTCCAGCGTGCAATTCTGCGCCGTGCACCGGCTCACCGGGATGCGCGCTGGGAATGCGCGCTGGCGCGCGTGGCTCTGTGGGCAAGGAGAGTGGAGGAGAGCTCAGGCTGCATTGCAGGGCTCTGAGGCCAGCATGTGTAAAACGCTGGGGCCGTTGCCACCCGGTGGTAGCATTCGGTCTCTTGTGCTGCCTTTGCTTGTCTCTTTTTGTGTCTGGAGGCCTTAATGAGAGCAAAAGATGCTCTTGAAAGGTCGGTAGCAAAGCTACCGGGGAGCATTTGGCTTTGTGCTATGCAGGGCTGCCGCTCTGGTGCGCGCAGTGCCTTTGTTCCTTTCTTGGATGCACCGGAGCAGAGCTCATCCCGTTAGTGATGGTTTGGCTCCCCCGTGGCATGTTTGCCTTTGGGTCCTTCTATGCCCCTGCCTTCAGTGCACACCACTTGGGTTCAAGCAAGTGCAGTTTATTGGGGGGGGGGGTTGAAGAACTCGAGGGGTTCAGGACAGTCCTTTTCCATGTTTTGTTTTTCCCTGTGCTGAGATGGATTTGGGATGAGCTGAGGGTCCTGAACACCACATGGCCCCTGTATCCCACTGCAGGCTGTACCCAAATCATGACAAAAAGATTTACTTCAGCAGATTGGAGGGAGGGAAATAAATGAGCAGGATTTTCTGTTTCCCTCAAATGTCAGAGAAGGTGGGTTCCTGGCTCTGTGGCTCCAAGCTGGCTTGTCCCCTCCTTTGCTCTTTTGCTGTGGGCTGTGGAGTGAGGAGGCTGGCAGCCCTGCTTCTATTTCTGGTGGCGATGAGCTGGGGATTGGAGACGAGGGATGGTGAAAACAAAGTGGAGGGAACATTCATTAGCAATTATCACTGCTTGCAGCTTGATTGGGGCGGCTCTTGGGGACATCTGATAGCCTCTTAATACATGTTCAAAGCGCCGCTCCAGCGAGAGGGTGAATGTGGTGGCTGGTTTGCAGAGGAGCGCAGCACTCAGCTCCCTTTGCCATTTAACCTCAAGCTCTTTCTGTGTGCGTTAAGCTGCCTTGAGATCTGCTTTGGGTTTGAGTTATCTTTTATTCTCTGCTAATCTCTCTGCAGCCGGGATCTTACAGACCTGTTTGTTAGCAGCAAATGGAAGCCCGGTTGGTGCGGTTGCAGCCACGGGCTGAGCAGGACGGGTGGTACCGGTGCTGGTGCCGGTGCAGGGAGTGCGTACGTGGGGTTTTTCCACTGTGTGAAGCAGTGGGCTGGAGCAGCAGTTGGTGAGCTGTGCCGGCTGTTGGCAGCCCACGGAGCCCATCGTCCTCCCAACTGCCTGTCACAAGCCCGCTACGAGGTGGCAGAAGGTCTGAAAAGAGGCTGAATCATTTCTTTTACACCATAGTTACATTGCATAATCCCTCTCTTTTGAGCTTTCCTGCTCGTCTGCTGGGTTGGAGGAGGGTGGGTGTTCTCCTTGAAGGACAAGCTGGCCTCTGGACTATATTTGGTGTAAAGAGCCTTTTTAGCCACCTTCACCTAAATACCGAGTTGCTTCCTGGTGAAGGCAATGTCAAAGCCTGTAGTACTGACACCTTTGTTGTTTACACCCTCAAGACTGTAAGAGTGAGTGCTGTTGGGATGAAGAAGGAACATCCCCTATCAGACTCCTGGCTGGGTTTAGCCCCTGGCTCTTGCTTTCCTTCTAAGTTAACCTTTGATTTAAAACCTTGCTGTTGCAGATCCTCTTTACTGGGGATCTGCTCTGTCTTCCCTCCGTGGCACACTAGATGTGGCTTTTGGGCTTTTACTACAAGTCTCAAGTTTGCTGAAGTGATGATGGGCAGTGGCTGCTCTCTGTGGGGTGTAGGAGTTGGCAGTAAATTTGTTCTCTGTCTTCTAAGCTTCCTGTGTTGCAGATTGTAGAGTGACTCGACCAACCTCTCACAGCAGAAACATTGAGAAATGAGCTTTTTACTCGTTAGGCACTTGAGTGGCCTTGGAAAAGGTAACAGAGGCAAATGTGTTTGGTGTCTTATTGGCAGTGTCTCTGCTGAGTAAGTCATAGAATCAGAATCCCAGACTGGTTTGGGTTGAAGGGAGCTTAAAGCTCATACAGTTCCAACCCCTGCCACGGGCAGGGACACCTTCCACTAGAGCAGCTTGCTCCAAGCCCCTGTGTCCAACCTGGCCTTGAGCACTGCCAGGGATGGGGCAGCCACAGCTTCTCTGGGCACCCTGTGCCAGTGTCAAAGTCAGCTCAGTAGCTGCCAGTAGGAGAGGCATCTTTGGCATAGGGCAGGTAGGTACCAATGTCTTAGTGCTGAGCTAAGCTGCAGAAAGAGCCAAAGAGGTGGAGGAGTGCCGCCGTTCAGGCACACTGCGTCTTGTGATGTGGCTGATGACCAGACAAGACACTATAGATACATCAGATGAGTCAGTAGGTGTCTACAGGTGATACTGCTCATGGTGATCATGCGTGGCACTGAGAGCAAGCACTGTTTAGGGGGCTAAATAGCAACAGGGAGAGATTCTGGGGAGGAAATACTAGCAGTGACCTCTAGGGAATGAAGTTCTGGAGGTGGTTTCTAAGCACCTTAACTATGGCTGTGCTTTTGCTCCTGGTGATGAGACCCTTTTTTTGAGCAGTTCAGCCCATTAATCCACTAGAAAACTGACTTTACCCAAAAGGTCCCTAAATTTCTGCAGGATAAATGAGTTTAATTGACTTGTGGAAAGGGACTGCAGTAAGAGGGAGCCCATTAGCCCATTAGCTTGGCTCAGCATGTTGGGGCTCAGCATCCTGTGGGAGCTCAGCCTCATCTTTTCCATCTGGGAGTATCTCGTCTCTAGGCCGAGGAAAGGGTTACAGCTTTTTCTCAGCTCCAGCAGGCAGGAATATTCTGCTTTTGTTGTTCACCAGGATGGGTAAGAGGTTTCCGGGGTAGATACAATAGGAAGCCGTAAATGCAGCGGCTGGACTGGGGTCTCCTTCCCTGCCTCCTGCGAGTGAGATGCCAGAGGAAGGACCGAAGCCTTTAAAATGCAGGACACAGGGATTTGGCACATGTACAGAGACGTACCCTGGGAGCAGAGATGAAAGGCTGCAGCGTGTAAGCGTAGACCCAAGTTGCAGCTGTGACATACGCCTCAGCTTTGGGATAGAATTGAGCTGGAGCTTTTGGAGCTGAAGGTTTGATCCTGGTTTCGGATGAAAGCTGTCAATGGAGAAACCAACCTAGGTGTCTCTCACTGCTGATGCCAGGGTGTAGAGGTGGCTGTCAGGTGTGTCAGAGGCCCATAGTGATTGTCCAGACCCACCTAGGAGGTAGTGGCTGGGGACATTTGGGAAGCAGCTGGACTCAGGCAGCAAGACCTCTGGTCCCAGACACATCCTAGCTGAAGAAGCCACTGTCTGAACCACATGTGGTAGAACAGAGATGGACCATCTCTGTAACCAAGTTTGGATGGTGGCTTGTGCCCCATGTGTTGTGGTGTGACCTTTGGAGCCTGTGTTGGTGCGGGAGCTGCTGGCTGTGTCAGGTCCTCTGGCTCCAGAGAGGCCACCAGGCACCTGTGTGACGCTGAGAGCGATGAAGTGGCGCCAGCATTTTGCACTCACCAGGGGTTGGCCGGGGATATTCACATTGGCTCTTTCTATCCTTCCAAGATCCTCCTTCCCTGCAGATGGGAAATGAAAATCCTTGGCACTGGCATGGAGCAGTGGAAGCAAGTCAAGTAGCATGGCTCATTGAAAAGAGAGGAAGAAGCCCGTCCAAGCCTGGATGGGTACAGCAGGGCAGCCGTGGGTGATGCTCCCTGGCGTGGGCATTGTACAGAGCAGCTAAGGGCACGTACATCTCTCTCTTGCTTGGTGAGCAGCACTTATGTGCTGTTGTAAAGTGAGAAGGCCTGGAAATGCTTTCCCTGCTTGATCCAATCCCAGTGTCAGGCTTCTGTAAATCTCCCCTAACCGCTGGCAAAGCTGCCAAACACTGCTACAGCACAGGGAGAGCGGGTCGCTCCCTGCTTCCCTCTCCGTGCCCAGCTGTTCCAGGGCAAATCCAAACTCATCTTGGCAGGTTGGTGAGAGCTTTTCAAACACTCAGCCTTGGAGTCATTTGTTAGTAACAAATGGGGGATTTGCCAGGACACGCTGCTCCATCTGGTCTGGCATCCTGTCCCCTACAGCAGCCTTGACGGATCTGCTTGAGGAAGGCAGGAGAGCAAAAGGAAATAGGGGGCAGTTTTCCCATGGAAGGAAAACCGCTTCTGCGGTCTGCTGGAACAGCATTTCCTGGGCTGTTGTGGCATGCCCTTGCCTCTGTGCTGTCAGTGTGAGGGCTGCAGCTAATGGAGAATCCCAGTGGTGGTTGGTACATACATTTTCTGTTGCTGTTTTGCATTTCACTTCTGAACACCAGTGAGGCTGAGCTGCATCCAGACAGGACTTGGGTGCACTTCCCTTGCTGAGTGGTTTCCTTCTCCTTTCCCCCCCCATGGTTAATGAGAGAAACAATCTGTTTATGTTCTTCCTATAAAATTCTCCCATGTCTTCACTGCAGCGAAATCTCTCCATAGTCTCTGAGCACAGAGGCAGCCCTGCACGGGAACAGCCAGCTTCTCCAAGCCCTCACCTTGGCGAGTTGCAAGTGTTTTCTATTGCTCAGCCTTTAGATGCAGCCAGATCTCAAGGGCTGCGTGTCCCACCACAGGACGGTGTGTGCTCTCCAAGTCTCAAAGCCTTTGTGTTTGGACCGAGCTTTCAGGGGAAAAGATGGGGATGTATCTGTAGCTCCAACAGCTGCTTCAGTAGAAGAGGTGGCCGTCACCTCTTTGGGTTTGCCAGGCTGTTCTGTTTGAGGTGCTGGTGTGCTGCTGGTGACCGGCTGGGGTTGAACAGGGGTATCCATATCCCCAGCCAGCTGAATCTGGGAATACATCATGCTCAAAATGGGTCCCATGCTTGTCCCAGCGTGAAGCAGGCAGTGAGCAGGCAAGCCTGGGAGGGCAGGGCCCTGACTGCCTCTCTGTTGACACCCCACGCTTTAGATGAGCTTAAGCCTAGTAAGAAGCCGCACCTTTGAGGCAGTGAAGCACATATCAGTGCTAAAGGGGGCTAAGGAGGGTTGGGGAGCACACAGGGAAATGGTTTGGGAACAGGTCTGGAAAGGGAGCAAGACCTGGCAGAGGCACAATGAGAGAGGCATAGTGAGGAGCTCGCTGGTTAAAACCCAAACCTGGAACTGTTGGTTTTATTTTTCGTTAGAAGTTACTGAACTGGGTTAGTCTGAGCGACTACAGCCCAGATATAATCCACTTCTTGCCAGCTTCCCTGCTCCTGACCACCGAGCTCTTTTTGCACCTCAGCAGCCGGCCTGACTCTGTTCTGTGTGTGTGTGTCTGTGTTTCACAGTATCCGGATCTGAGCCAGGAGTCCGGGTCTCCGTTTGTCTTTATCTGCACGAATCCCCAGGAGATAGTTGTGAAGTTTCCCATCAAAGGAAAACCCAAAATCTGTAAGTAGTAAAGTTTCCACAGATGCCCCCCTTGGCCTGCTCTCATCACCACCTCTGCTTGCCTTTGCCAGATGAGTTCGCAACCTTTGCCCTGTGCTCTTTGATCTGTAGGTGTTTGTTTAATGGCTCGAATACGTCTGTAATAGTTTTTTTTGTCTTCGGCTCCCCTTTCCCCAGATGTTGCTTCCTTCCAAATACAAGCCTCTTCCTGCCCCTGCAAACACTTGGGAGGCAAAGAGCCGCTGAGCTGCTCGTGGCATCAGCCTGGGTTGGGATATGCACTGGTGCAGCAATGCTCGGGCACTTGCTTCTTGCCTGTGGTTCAGAGTTACCCTCTTGCCATGAGGGCGGTGAGGGCTCGAAGCAGCAGGAGCTGCAGGGCCAGCTGGATGCTGTCCATCAGGCAGGATGGGCTGTCCTGGCAGGGCGTGCAGGGAAGCGCCGCGGCATCTGTCTGTGTGCTGCTTGCCAGCACTGTTATAGTCCCTTTTATGAGGCACCAGCCCCTCTGCATGCTGCCGGTTGCTCCTGCCCGCTGCCACAGGATGGAGGAGGGATGCGGCAGCTGGGGAGCTGCAGTCAGCTCTGGCCTGAGGATCAGCCTCCCCAGCACACAGCCTGGGGAAGGCACCGTGCGTGCTTTCAGGGGGTGTGAAGAATTAATTTGAGGGGCTAAAACCAGCATAAGCAGAAAGTCTTGGCTGTTGTTTAGTGGAGCCCACGACTGGGTTTTCTATCTCTTTTGCAGTGTGTTTCTCGGGGAGTAGTTACCCAGTGGTGCAGGAGCAGCAGGGTTTCTCAGGACCAGTTAATAAGGGTTTTTGAAGGGTTATTTCTGTTGGGTTTGAGTTTTTTTTTGCCCTCTTCACTCAGAGAAGCCCCATTCTCCAATGGCTTTGGTCTCTCCCTGGGTATTGGGAGTATTCCTGCCCTGAGCAGGGCGAAGTGGTTTGGTTTCTCTCCTGCCTTTTGTACCAACACTTGTGAGGTGGGTTCAGACAATGTCAGTGATGATGCTGGTGAGCTGGTAGTGCTTGGATCTTGCTTGCAGCACCATCCTCCCCCAGGGACAGGTCTTCCCCAGCACCCATGAGCAGGCAGGTTACTTAGGATGCAGACGTCTTTGCTGTGGTGGAACAGACCCATTGCTGTTGCTGGAGCATCCTTTCCTTCTCTTGGCTTAATCTCCATGCTCTTGTACAGACTCTCTCAAGCCCCTTCACTGCCACATCTGCCTCCCCTGACTGTGGTTTGGAGCAGAGCTGCTAGCAGCCGCTGGAGGGGAAGCTGCTGCATGGGGTGAGCGCAGGGCTCTGCGCGTCTGCCTCGCCGGGTGCAGGTGCTGCCGGTCCCCTCCCCATCTGTCACATCGTCTCCTTTGTGTTGTGACACTTTCCTGCTTGGAGAAGGATCAGTCTAACAGCCGGGAAGGAAGCCGGCTGTGCTGTGCTGTGCCCGCTCCTGCTGCCGGCCCTGCCTTTCCTGCCCTCCATCCCAACAGGAGCTGTCACGAGAGCAGCGGCGGGGGAGATGGTGGAGTTGCACATTCAGCTCCCGGAGGGGACGTCATCCGTCTGGGTGATATTTGTGACAGCCTAGGGAAGGAGCAGGGCAGCCTTTGACCTTTCGCTGGGGTAAGGAACTGCTTTAATAGGAGCTGGCATTACATCCATGACAGTCAAAAGCTTAATTCTCCAAGCTGGAAGCAGAGCTGGGCGAAGGTGCTGGCTCAGGTCCCCACCTGAGCTTGCCGGCTGCCCTGGTCTCCTTGAAGCCTGGCTCAAGCCATGACAAAATGCCAGTTTGTCTTGTTGGGAAGCCAAGCCAGAGTGGTTTTCCTTGCCAGATAACAGCATGGACCTTGCCATGATGACATCCAAATGCTTCTCTGTTGCAAATTAGTTGTTTCTAACAGCCCAGGGATGGGAAAAAAAAGGAACGTAGCCTGATTTTATGCTGCCAGGGTTATTGTTTGTGTGGAAGGGATGGGCACTGTGTTTGTGTTGCATCTGGGAGCACTGCTCACCCAGACACATCCCCGCTTCGCTTTAGTGCATGAGGACACAGCTCAGTGGTGGTTCTCGTGGGAGATTTCCTTGGGCCCGGGCAGAGCTTCCCTGAAGCCTCCCTCATGCATTGCTCTGAAACCTCCCTCCAGCAGCTGGCAGCTGGAGGAGTGGGCATGGGGACGTGTCGTAGTGCAAGGTGAGAGTCCTCGAATCATGGAGTGAAAGAGAAGGGGACCCTGGGGCTGCTGCCTTGATTTTAGCCTTTTCCTAAAGGTTCCTGTGTGGTGTTTTATGTTCACCAGCTGGTAGCACAGAGGAGCCTCCTGACCACTTTTGGGGTTCAGGAAGAAGAGGCAGGCATGTTAAATACAAAGCCGATGAACCCTGGAGGTGGCACAGTGTTGGGGGTGGGGACCAGAGCATGGAGTGAGTGTGAACTTGCTGCCTTTCTCCTGCCAACAACCCCATGGCTTGGCGATGTGTTGGTCCAACGTGTGCTTCCGGACAGTCTGGCTGCGCCAGCTCCTTGCTGGGTGCTGATCTCGCAGACCTCACGCTCCAGGGAATGCCCCATTTCACTCTTTTGCTTGGCCTCAGTTTTCGTTTACTCGCTTGTGATGGTGGAAGAGTTTTGCAGGCAGCCTTTTGTGTCCTGTGGGCTGCAGGTTGGCACCCGCTGTACCAAGGCATTGGCAGCATCTGGTTCCTGTCCCCAGTTCCAACCTGATCCATTTATGGACCTGTGGCACGGTGACTTGCAAACCCTTGCTCGTGTTTTGTGTTTTGCATGTGTTCCAGTTTCGGTGCATTGAACTTCCCTCTCGAGCTGAGACAGGAGCAAGGCTGGCCCAAACTCGAGCTGAAGGAGGAGGACTGATTTCGGGGAGGTTGTGTTGACCTGGTGGGAGTTCGTTTGAGGGGAAGGTGATGGTCCCTGGCTGGTTTGGAGCCATTTTCTCTGGACAAGCACCTGCTTCTCATGGCACACAAGCATTTACCAGCAGGTTTTGGTGCAGTGGCCAAAGCAGAACCAGTTTGGAGCCTGGTGGATCTTGAGACCACCAGAGGTGAGATCTGCTGTGTGCTGTAGCCGTGTTGTAGCAACACAGCTCTTCCAGGGAGTCCATGTGCTGTGCTTCACCCACAGGGTGACAGGAGGCTTGATTGCCGAAAGGGGTGGTGCATGGGACCTGAGTAAAGTGCTGCCACCTCTGGCTCCATCCACGTCACTGGGATTTCACTGGAACCTACTCTGTCTGTCCATGTCCTTTATCCCTTTGCCTCCTCTCCTCATGGTGTGACCCCATTGGACACCTGTGTCCCTCCCAAGGGATGCAGGGGATGCTCCCCAGGGACTGGGGCTGCCCTTCCCAGCTCAGAATGGGCTCTGCAGTTTTTATTGCCAGCTTCTGCAATGCTTTGGAGCCCCGTCCCTGCTCCCAGCTACAGGGAGAGAAGGGACAAGGCAGGCATTTGGAGGATGGGAAGATGCAGGGAAGTTCCCAGAGAAACATGGCATTAGAGGAGGTGACAGGCGCCGGCTGATGGTAGAGCATTTCCAGGAGGCTGGCTTTTTGCCGTGGTGCCTCATTTAAGGTCATCTTCCCTTTCTTCTCTCCCTTCTGGAGCAGGGAGCTTTGCCTGCGAGAGCAGGAGCATCCTTGCTTTTTTACGGGCAGGCAGAGGGGATGGGGATGCTTCTCTGAGGCAGCGCATCACCCTCCCGCCTTGCTCACCCTGCCTGGCTTTTGGCTTCTTCCGCAGGAACTGCTCAAATCCCATGTTCTGGTGTCCTGCTCCTCTCCCAGGTGGGAAAGCAGAGCTGGCAGTGAAGGCCCCAAGGGCTGTGAAGGATGAGGGGAAACAGAGTTTCCTCTGGGTCCCACTGGAGCACCTGGGCTCCCCAGGGTGCTGCTCGGTGGCAAAGGCAGCACGGCCCTCCCAGCTGGTGGCCTTGACAGCCACCAACCCGGTGCTTGGCAGCACAGCGTGTGCCACACGGCATCAGCATCCCCAAGCTGAGGGTTTATCGTCGCCGGGCCCGGCTTTCTGCCACGCCACAGAGAAGCACATCCCTGACATGGTGCTTGACAGTCCCCCGTCTCCTTCAAACGTGTTGACACACATCCCGTGGGCAAGCAAAGGGACTGGTTTCCCTGCTGGTAGTGGCAGGCGAGTGCTGGATGTTAATTTCCTCTCCTCCCTGCTGCATTTCCCCCTCTCCAGCAACTCTTCCCAAGCCGGACACGCTTGCCCCCGGCTCCCCGGTGTCTCGCCTGCAGTGGGAGGCCGTGGCGGCTGGGAACGCCTGGCTCCTCAAGCAGGATAATTGGATGTGACAGGAACACACTAACTAGGAGACCTCGGTGCCTCCAGCTGATTTGCATTGCAAATGGCATTTACAAATAAAGAGTGATGAGGGTTTGTGGGGTTTCTTTATTTTTAATCCCCTCTTTACAGGGAAGCTGGATGCAAAGATCCATCAGGGAGCAAAGAAGGGGTTAATGAAGCAGAAGGCGACAGGCTGAGCCGCAGGGAGCAGTGCCTCATTCCCAGCCAGCATCTGAAGGGTGCCAGGATGGTCCTCGACTCCTGGAAGCAGGTGCAAGACTGATCTCAGAGTGCTTTTAGGTATTGCTTTATCCACTGTATTCCAAAAGCATTAAAAGAGACGTTTTCACCCAGCTCTTCCTCAACAGCCTTGTGCTTCCCAGGAAGTCCTCGTGGGCTGAGGACAAGGGTGGGTGGGAGATGGAGCTTGGCAGGATGGGATTCAATCAGGCTCTGACATCTCCAGGTCTCCTGCAAGCACCAGATCCCAAGACTGGTGAGGGGAGCTCACAGCAGGAGGTAGCTCCATCCTGGCTTTGGCAACGCCTTCTTCCCAAAATGTCCCTCTCTCCTGTGAGATTAATCTCTC